CACTATCAATTTGCATGTTGGGCCGCTGGTATCATATAAAAGTGCAGCGATGTTGATGTGAAATTCTATTTTCGGCGACAACAACATTTGTCATACTTTTAGAATATTTTTTTAAAGGGAAAATTACAGCGCGGCACAGGTCGATGAGTGCATTTGCTTTAGTGTTATGAATCAAACGCCTAACACTGATAACAAAACACATCTCAGATATCTCTTAACACAGAAGAGATGATGGGAAGACAAGTCACCTTGATGAAGGACACAAAAAAGATGTAGACGCTTAAAACAAAGGCAGATCAAAGATTGAAGTATAAAAACATGCGTAAGATAGTAAGAGAGATCAAAAGAGAGAAGTCGGACAGACAAACAGACAGACAGACACACACACACACACACACACACACGCACACACACACAAACAGAGGGGGGAATGGTGTAACAACCTTAGAATACACCATAGACCGGCATGATAGACCACAGTAATCACAGAAACAACTGAAATGATAGAGAAGTTGATACAGAAAGTGTTTAATGAAGGTAGGACAAAGAGAATCAACACAATTTTTGCACCCTAAAAAACTGTCGCCATCCTTCCCATAAAAATGAAACACAATTGTATGAAATGCGCGTCAATTCGCTTGACCTGGAAAATAAACAATAAACACACACGTTTACAAATCCATAAATATTTCACCACTGAATATCCAACATGCAGAGCTTTATCAAGAAAACACGACAGGAAACTACAGCAAAGACAGAAGACATTCTCACACAGGAAACGATAATTCATTCCAAAATATTACGGATATTGGGGTTTGATTCATCATTATCATGATAGCTTGGCAAACGCTGCTCATGTAAGCATTCGAGCCATGCCACTCATCCAATAATGCTTGAGGTTTACCATAATTATTCTCCAGGACGCATTAGCACGATTCTCTCTCTTGCTTATCTTTTTAAATCATAGACGAAAAAAAAGGGACAGAAAAAAATTAGTCATAAAAACGATACGTTTTCCCCCGGGTCAAAAGTTTCCCTTAAAAAAAAAGGCTTTTCAGACAAAGGTCCGATATCTAAAGATTGCATTTTCTGTATAGCATCGTTCAAACATGACTTTAAAAACCACCTCACTGCATCGGGTAGAAAAATCGATATCACGGAGATAAAGTTTGTAAAATCATTCTGGGCCTGGAATAATGAATACACCATGCATAAACAATGAAAGCATGTCAGTAACATGGCGGACTTTAGCTTCAGAACAGTATTTGTTGGCTGTACTTCAACTCAGATTCGATTCCATTCTTTCCTTGTCACCCGCATCTCAACAAAAACACTCGCGCGCGCGCGCACGCACACACACACACACACACACACACATACACACACACACACACATGCACACACACACACACACACACACACAGAAATACGAGCGCGCGCAAAATAACCCCCACACACACA